AGAAATGTGCTTTTTGCCCCGATATCTGCTCGCCCCTATTAATTAGGTAAACGTGTACGCCGAAGCTCAGCATTCGCCAAGAGAGAAATAATCTTCTAGAGGAATTGCATTCGTGAGTAGCTTATCTAATTAGAGGGCACCGTTCGTAAGGCACTTTTTCGAAATAAACCTGCATACAAAATTTCGAACCACTGAATTGTGCGCAATGTATTTGAGTTATCAGGGGAATTCAACAACTTTACAATTTTCACAAATGAACGCTCTGTGGAAACCGCTTGTTTTCTTGTTTATTTGTGCAGTATATGTGTGATAAATAAGGGCAAAATTAAGGGCTTCATAGGTCGATGTCAGAGGAAATCAAGGGAACAAGATGGCACCAATTACTCACCGATTTCGTCCTGTTAACGCGGCGTCTAACCGGCATCACGAAGGTTCTATGTGGGGGGGGGATAGGCTTTCGACTTATAAACTCATCCGTCTACCAGTTTGGTTTGGACGGGCAACTTACCTGAGACCCAGCTGAATCGCTCGTTTATGGTGTTCTTGCTCAGAATAAGTTTTATGCACGTGAAAGATTCGAACGTCCAGATGGAACATGTAGATAATTTTATAGCTTATTGATTCACATAATCCCGAGAATTACTAAGAGTCATTATTTTATGAGAAGGCAGGTACCGTTAACTGAATCATCTTTAACACTGAGAAATCTGACCTTAGATGTCACTTGCACGGAGGTTGAAGTCCCAATAATCCCAATTCCTAATCACGATTCCCTAACTTATCACTGAAGAACTGTAGAATTAAGGTTCCTATAACACGTACGCAAAGCCAGCCTCTAAAGTATTTTCGAATTTTGACCAACATGTTCCCGTTCGTATCTAGAAGATATTTCTGTTTTTACATCTCTAATGTTATCAAAATAAAGTTTCTGTCATTCTTAATGTGACTCGGCACAACACCAGCCCTTTTTCGTACGCCCTGTTCGAATTGTTTCTGTCTTACACGTCACCCTTTAGCCAGCATCACTAAGATATAACTGTCACATTGACAGGTGACCGTTTTTCATCTTAATTTTATAAACCTGTTTCTAAATTCAGTGCATTTCACTTTGCTGACAAATTGGCAATATTACCAGCAAGTGAACGCTTGCTAATAAGTAGACCTTAAAACATTTTTGGAGGGACGAAAAATAAGTCTTGAGACAACATCATACAACACAGGTTCAACTGACTCCGTTGGAAATGAATGTATATCGCCAAAATACAACACGAGTTTCCTGAAAATGCTTGATAGTATGAGTATATTGCAAATCTGTAGAAAATGTCAACCCATCTCAAAATTTGTATTCCACATTTAACCAGTGTGGGTAAATTTGACTTTACTGATGCCTTGTTAGCACGATGAACGACTCTTTTGATGAAAATATCTTTAATACATTCGCCGCTTTGTAGTTAAAGGGTCAGGTGTATAATTAGACTGCATATAACCGTTGTATCAGAAGCCTATTTCTTATATCAGGCATCTGATGTAGTTTCCTTGATCATCATGGTGGACGGCGAAGGGAGTATTTTAGCGGGCAGATCTAGTGAGTGGGCGCGGCATTTGTACACTAACTGCACTGTTGTATTGTATCAGTACCAAAAATTAGGGAGCATTCTTTATTCGTTTCCCGTATGGTCGACAAAAGATATTAATCCAAGTAAGGGTGTTTCTAAACAGAGGTCAATTAGGCTTTTTTTCGGTTGATTGTCTCTCCCTGGGCAAACCAGACAGTATAAATCCGTATAGTCGAGGAGGGATGTATGTTCAGCTGTAAACACTGTACAACAGGGGCCACTCAATTTGTCCAGAAAAAAAGACATCAATCAGGGAGCAATAGAGCCATGGCGGAAGTTCTAGTTACCACCAGTTAAGTACTGTGCCATAAAAACTGATAACTCGTATAGATGATAAACTACTTGAAGGTTTCCGTGACCAGGTTTTGAAGTAAGTTTATCTCCTGGCAATAGCGCCAAATTCTCCATAAACCCCACCAACCTAGGCGGACGCTGCCGAACTCTTGTGGCCTACTCGGAAACTCAAATAAACACCCACGGTCATGACTGTGTTCGAAGATGAAAGTAGAAGGGAATGCGTTCAGGTTAGCCCTGAAAGTCGAACACTTATGCAAGTAACTGGACTTTGATAAAATGGCTAGAAATAATAGCAATTTATGCACGGTACGTGCACGTTTGTTGGCAGTCATTAAGCGTTTTGTGGTCAAATGTATGTTGAACAAACTGCCACATAAGTGGCACTGCCAAATCCACCTATCGCCAGCCAGTATATTTCCTTTTTATATTTGAAACTACCCTTCTTTGTCAGTTTGTTTTATTCTTCAGGGCCGTTTTTATTGTGTCTGCATTCTAGGTGCAATAAAACATCTTTAGCGTTTTTCTCTAGACAAAACTACACCCCCTCTATTGACCAACTTTGAATAGCTCCGTCAAATGTCGGAACGATAGAACGAGTTCTTTTCTCCCAAAATGGAAAAGCCAGGACTATCCAGTTCCAATCAGTCCACAAAGCTAAAATTTGTTCATCCGATAGCAGAATGAGTAGAGATGCTCTAGAACCCACTATTTCAGGAGGACTCTGCCAAAACAATGAATATGCTACCAGACCGATTTTTACTTAGTACACAAGAGGTTCCTGAGGCCAAGAAACAGACTGACCACTCAATGCAGAGATGTATATGATGATACAAAAAGTTAGTGATGAGAAGTATGGGTTAGCTAATTTCACTATCGACAGATTTAGGGGAAAAATGACATTAATTAGTTTTAGGTTTCGGAACCTTGTTATTCCAGCAAAGAGCCCTCGGGTTGGTGATCGCTCCTGGGTTCCAATAATGAATTTTGCTGTTCTCTGGGGGGGAGGCTAGTGGGTACTACAACTGTTTTACCAAGTGGCGGAGTACTTTTGATCGCCTCGAGCCGATGATGATTCCTGAGCGCTGGTAGCCTTACACCGCCACATGAAACCACGCTGAATAAGCTTGCCAACTCTGAGCCATCCATTCTACTGACGCTGGAGGGATTTGCGATTCCCTTGTTTTGTCTTCAGTTAGTGCGACTCAAGTCGTTGTCTCCACCTCAAGACATCTAAAATGTTTACAATGTTTTTCGAGTCTACTTCCAATGCCATTATTATTTACTGATTTTTCTCTGTCCTAAAAGGCTAACCTTATAATCCTTTCGTGTCACAGTGGAAACGATGTTCAGAAAAGTTGGCCCCCAACCTTTTCTGAAATTGAGTGTCATTAATATATCAACATTTGCAAGTCCTTGTGCATGAAATGTTATCTAAGTTTTCCTTCGTTGTTTTAACTTCATCGTATCTGAACTGCCCATCCCCTCAACATCGTCGTAAATTGTAAAGTGTGTTACCATAAACCATGCTCATGAAAGTGGTTTTATTTTGTTGTCACGTGTTTCTAGAACGCTTTTGTCTGGCAACGGACTAAAACACTTCATATCTGACTTGAATTCAAACCCTGCACCAAACGTTTTGGTGATACTCCCTGATAACTGTATAGAATGAGGATAAATGTCACGTTGTTCGTAAATGCAGACGCCTGATTAGGTTCATCGATACCCACCGCCTATTTGTTTGGTCACATAAGTAGTCGGCTGGCTTTGACCCATGACCTTACCGTGGAGTAGAGCATTCTCTATTTAGCAAAGCACAACTTAAGGACACTCTTTGTATATCCAACTTGAAGGCAGTACCCCGATGGATAATAGCAACATGACGCCAGAATGGAACTCTTCAGTGTAAACTGTTTTACTCGCTTTGAGTTCATGTAATGCCCTCTGTCTAAAACACACCTTTAAGGATCACCAGAAATGTTCAGTTCTAAAAGTTGGCGGTTTTCGAGAATGGCTGCATAGAAGTGTGCATTCTGCCCGTACATTAACATGAATAAGATATATTTTTCGTACTTTATAGTGTATGATGCCACAATAGTTGAAACATGCCAGAATGTCGAATTTTAACTTCCCGTGGATCAATACAGGGAAGACAAATCAGTTTTATTTAGAAAAAAGTTCATTTTCACACGCTTCCGGCCGCATTCGTGGAAGGTCTGGGTAGATCTCTTCTGAAGTCTCGTTCGAAGTTTTGAGTTATACGGAGTTTCTGTGAATGTATTCCAGAAATTACCTTAATTTAGGAGAAACCATGGTCTTTTGTGCGTCCGGATCAACTAAGTACCTACGCTTTAGTTTACTCCACCACAGAACTCCTGGTATTGCGTCACAATTTTGCTTGGTTAGTGCTGATGTTGGGTTGTGAACAGGCCTATGATATTTGCTGAGAAAAAGTTTCAATATCATAACAGGTACTGTCGTAATCTTTTTTGCTTCTCAAGTATATTTTTGGGGTGAATCAAAGGTTTTTCTTATCCCGGTACTTTGTGGATACTTTGTAGATTTAACGTAAATATCCAGCATTGTTCTGTCAAGAATCAAGTTTCGCATCCTTCGCCCGAATAGCCGTTACGTTTGACCCCCAAATCTTCAACAGTTTGCTCGTTTACCACAACGAGTTCCTGAAGGGGTGAAGATAAGCCTCTTCACCCGTCCCCTTAAATTATTATTCAGGGTTGCTTGAGTAGATCATCTAAATTTTACAAGTGTCACAGCTGTGATCATCTTTCATTATTTCGACCTCATTTTTCAGTGTTTCATAGAAGGACAGGTTTACTGAACTTTCGTCCAGTTGATCTCATTTTACTGTATTCGATCAGATGAGGGAATTCGATCCGGGAATTAGACGCAAACGTCAGAAAAGTCCGAGCGTGTTAAACTACTGATATTTCGAAGACAATTTATTAGCGTCACAGTGACTTGATATTTTTTAATTCGTCGGTAAATACTAAATAAATAGACAGTCACTGCCTGTGAAGATTATTTCTTTGGTAAAAATGCGCATCACCAAAATTATTCTTTCCTTCACAGTACCGCTCTGTCGGGGCTTTCCTGTTCGGAAGAGGAATTATATTCACCAAATCCGATATTATGGAGACTTAAGCATGCTTACGTCGGCCTAAGTTTCACACCTCAGCTTTCCGCCAAACAAGTCGACCGAGTTAGTTCAAATCATATCTCGCAACGCAAACAATTTTCCACCACACTGGCTGCAAACCGCCGTCAGTGCTTTTTAGGTGGGGTAAGTTAAAACTTTAATATGGGTTTTAAACTTTATCCTATTGAGCACGTCCCACATTTTCACCTGTAATTGAAAAGTAGATCGTCCATCACTTTTTAAGAGGCATGATGACATAAATGGCTTCCGCTACTTACAGGACGTGCATTTCTGATGATCATCGATGATGTTGAAAGAGAACAGCTGTTCTGTTACAGGTTTTTTGACGCATTTCTTGCAGGGAAAATCTTTCAAATTTGGACGGTTTCTCTGAATGAGAGGTTCTTGACTCAGTTAACCTCTCTATAACCAGTTCGTAATGGAAACGAAGAATGACAAACTGGCATTTGTAGTTCGCTTCTTTTGATGATCACAAATTTATCGTCCATATAACGGATCCATATTTTAGGATCTATATCGGGCAACACAATTTGTTTCAATTTTTGCATTGTGACTTCTGCAATGAAACCTGAAAATACAGAAGTCATTGCAGAAGTCACAATGTAAAAATTGAAACAAATTCTGTTGCCCGATATAAATCCTGAACTATGGATCCGTCTCGTGGACGATACATTTGTGCTCATCAAAAGAAGTGAAGTGCAACGAGTAAGCCAACCGTTAAACAACGTTTTCGGCGGCATCGAATTTACAACCGAGGAATAAAACAACGTAAAACCGGCGTTTTTGGATGTCCTCATCACTGGATTGTCGAACGAACAGCTACAAACTGAGGTCTACAGAAAGGCGACACATACGGACCAAATCCTCGGCCAGCGCAGCAACCATCCAAGTTACCACATACGAAGCTGCATTCGGACACTCTTTAAGCGGATTGAGACGCACTGCAGCACAACGGAATCAAAGATCAAAGGAGAAAAGCGCCTATACAGATTGTTTCAGAAGAATGAATGCCCGAGAAATTTCATCTGGAGAACACTCAGGAAGCCAAATACGATCGATGCAAAAGGACAAAATGCAAGCAAACGTGTCACACCTCCGTACATCAGGAACACCACTGAAATGTCAGCAAGGCTCTTACGACAGCACAATACAGTAGTCCCTTACAAGCCTGCGAATAATCTGCGGAGGATATTATCAAGACCAAAAAGGAAATTAGATCAAATGGCGAGGAACAATGTCATATACAGGATCCAATGCTAGGAGTGCGACAAACGGTATGTAGGACAAACAGGAAGAAAGCTCTCCACTAGAATAGATGAACACAAGCTGGCCACTAAAAGATACGATCAACTCTCCCTCATCTCCGCACACAAAGAGCAGGAAGGACACGAGTTCGACTGGAGCGGCGTTTGCAAGAACAAAAAGAGAACGCGAGTTTATGGAAGCGTGGTACTCCACCGAAGAAGCCATCAACAAACACATCAAAATTAATCCGATTTACAGCCACTAAAAGCGAGAGAATTCTAGAACCACGGAGCTTAGAGCTGCAAAAGTAACCAGCCGAGGAACTCATTGGAGAAGCAGGAAAGCATCACTCAAACGGACAAAACAGTTGGACTGGAAGAGGCGCCCAACCAGAGCACCAAATCCACCGGCTGTTGACTCTTCTTGGAACACAACTTTGACCAGTGTGAATTCCAACGATTTGTTAAGCAAGGGGTTCTGTGTAATCAAATGAGGGTTGGCAAAGCAAATAAGTTGCGATGACTCTTGATCAAAATTATGTTGAATTAAGCCGAAGCAACATATGTACCAAAGACTAATCGGCATGCTTCGTCACTTATTCATTCCACCCAGTACAGTGTTCGGCCCATACTCCTACATCATCTTTTCAGAGAAAAAAACACTCTTTATTGCTTTTTTATAATACATTTGTTCAAATTCACTCCTCACTTAGTAGTTAGACACAACGTTTGGCCTCCCTGTTGGAGCTGTCTCTACTCATGCCAACTGGATCTAATCCCATCAAATTGTACCTGCAACTTGACGCTTGTGGCCAAGCTAAGTGGCTACTTTGATGGAGAACAAGCTTGAAAAGCGTTTGCACCAAACCAGAAAATGTAAATCCTTACAAGACGGAGACGAAGATTCGTTGGATAATTTGCTAACAGAGTAAGATAGACTAGGATATATCATAAAAAATCGTGAGCATTTTTTAGTCATTCCAGATTACCTATTCACCGGTAAAATTAACGTGGAAAGAAGACATTTCCACTGACCGGATTTTAAATTTGGGACAATGGAGGTTGACTAGCATTCATTACACAGTTCAAAATTTGGTATCCGTCAATTTAGGAATGATAGCGGAATGTAGATATCCATATAGGAGACGGTCACAACAGTTCTGCACACTGGTATGTGGCAAAAGGAAAAGCCTCAAATTTACGTCACATCATACAAGTAGATTCATTTGGTAGATCAAATAAACTACGTTTTTGGACAACCATATCTTAATTTATCACTTGCCAAGCGGTCATCTCACAGACTAAATCATTGTAAGGAGGGAGAGAAAAGGTTTCTATGGTTCAAGCAAAATGTCGGAGCTGAAAGCGGATACTGTGAACTTCGCTTCATATGTATTCTCGCAGTTTCCTTCCCAGCTTCCGTGTATGTTTAGGGGTGAGGCAATCGCTCTTTGGCTAATCAAGCTGCATGATGGTCAAATTTGTTAGTATTTGCTTTCACAGTAGTACTGCTATGGTGGCGCTTTTCAGCAGCTGCGTCCATGGAAGTCGTATACTACTACAATAAGTGGGTAAAGCTGGGATAAAACGATCACCTTACAAATGGATAGAAGCCTTCGTAAGCCAAAGGCAGCTGACGGTAAGGAGTAAAAGGGCTAACTGTAAAGCAGTGAGAACAACCAGTGGGGTCTCGCAAGTAACCGTCCTTGGTCCATTTTTGTTCACGATCTACACCAGTTCCTTACCACTAAGCCACCACCTATCATCCCATCACTTTAGATCACGTTGCTTGCTATCTGATGAGGACCAGAAACTGTAGAAGAAGTCCGAAAATCAGCCGCCACTTCTGCAGCAACGAACGTTCCATTGGCTATTTGGGCAGACCTATCTCGGTTAACCATTTAGTAACTCGTCATCATTTTTTCCGCAATCGATTAGACAGAGTTCCGGTAGATTTTTGTGAATAAACTTGGTTAAAATTACATTTTGAAACCATCTGACCATTTTTCAATCATCTGCCGCCATACAGCGATAGATTCCCAGTTAAAGTGATGTTTCGGCTTTATGAGCGAATCCAAAAATATTCCAGATAATCCAAAAGAGAAGATATGATGGTAGGCGTGAAAAGCTGGATATTAGGAACAGTTAAGATTTATTTGGCTTGCAAGAATCAAAATCATACCAACAAGTGTCTGCCTCCCATGAAATTATGCGCGCAGTTACAGGGCTAAAGGAGAGAACTTCTATGTTTACCCACCATTTTTCGATAATCCGTAACATTGTTAGTAGAGCTGTTGTCAATTTCTCACCTTACAATGTCATGAAATACCGCTAGAGATCCTACTTTTCACATGACGTATTGACATGTTATAATCGTGGGAAATTAGGATACGTCGCAAAGAAGCTACTGGGTTTGGATTAAAATTACGGGTCCTGAATGTAAAAATCATTAACAAATTGAGTGCATTTGCCAGGACACCAAACGAGCATTCGTATGAATCAGATCGTTATCAGCAGCTGAATAATCTGTGTTTTGTCCACCTTCGCTGTCACAACGACTAGTGATCAGAGTTTTACCAACTGGGAAAAGCGACAAAGACTTCTTTCTTCGCTTGACGGTTTCTAGACTCTGATAGGTCGAGTTATTCTGCTTGATTCTACGCTGTCTCAAAGTGAACCGTGTGGGAATAAAAAAGCCCTAAAACATGTACCAATCAGATTGTTTTTTTGTCCTTACTGGCATGTATAAATTGCTGGCAACTATGGATGCTCCAAACGAGCATTCGTATGAATCAGATCGTTATCAGCAGCTGAATAATCTGTGTTTTGTCCACCTTCGCTGTCACAACGACTAGTGATCAGAGTTTTACCAACTGGGAAAAGCGACAAAGACTTCTTTCTTCGCTTGACGGTTTCTAGACTCTGATAGGTCGAGTTATTCCGCTTGATTCTACTCTGTCTCAAAGTGAACCGTGTAGGAATAAAAAAGCCCTAAAACATGTACCAATCAGATTGTTTTTTGTCCTTACTGGCATGTATAAATTGCTGGCAACTTATGGATGCTCGCAAAAACAAATCTGTCAACAGCCAATCTACGTGTAAGTCATACAGCATCAAAAATGCTCGAATTTGACTGAATTTGTCTTAAATTGTTAATATTTGCCACCTTCCAGATATTGCAGCACTTTTATTTCATTTGAGCTGTCACATATCCGAATGTTGGGATTGAGTTCTAACCACTATGATTATGGTTCTCCCTTTGAGTGTTGCTACTTATAGAGGAAATTGAATCGCTACAAGAAAACGTATATTGGTGTCAAAGTTTAGAGGACTCGCTGGTTAACCGTACAGCTCGACTAATCTTGAGTGGGCGGTGTAATGGACACATTTTTCGGCACTGAAAACAGCAATTGGTTTATTATGGTAGGACTTGTGATAATCAAGCCAAAATCAGTTGTTAATTTAGACAGTTGAAACAAACAGGTAGTAAATATTCAAGGCTCTTGGTTGAGCGAAACCTACATATTGATTACTAGGAGAGAGCGATTCTGCACCTCAGAAATTTGTCGCGCAAAACATGCTAGAGACCAACAATAAATGAAGGTAGTTCTGGTCATTTAGATAAACCATTGAATGAATTTACCATGATTGTCCCCTTTTCTTTGGATTGCAATTCATATGAAAGGGGTTTGACACAGAACAGCACCTTTCACCCTGTTACCCCGCCGTGCTTTGCCCAAAAAAAACCCAGAGAATTGGCGTGCTCCTCTATGAATTCTACTGTTCTTTTTGTTCTTTATCAAAGAAAATTAGCTCTTTCTTCTTAATAAGTCTGTGATTCTGTAATTAGCTGGCCAATGACATTCACAGAAACATCGGTTCATGGCTTTCAAATACCCTACTGCACTCTAGCTGTAACATCAGTCGCAAAATCCAATAAAGATCTCCTTGAAGTAGACCTTCGATGACAAGCTGCGCGGCAGAAGAATGTATAACCAACATTCCACATAAGCCATTGATGGGATTTTTTCATCTATACAGAACCTACAATCTTATTTTCGAAGAAAGGTTACGACTAAGATTCCGTGCAGAAAAAGAGTAGAATATACAGGTTTCAAGAACCAAATCGCAGCTGTTTACAACACGAGCTACGGGGTGTGATGGCCTACAGATTGCTGGAAAAGCTAAATTTGGTTACCCAGTATGAACAGTGGTTGTTTGGAACTATGGATACACAGGGCTACCACTCGATATACACTGTGTCTCTTATTGCATTTCAGCGAACCATGCTGAAGCAGACCTGAGCTGTAAGTACACAAGATCCATGGCTTTTTGTTTATCAGACTTCCTGTCAGACTGGCAAAAGTTAGCTGACTCAGCTCCAGTAATTAGCAGATTCGACGCACATGATGAAAACACGAAGGTCACATAATCTTCCTTTACAATGCTGATTCTTTAACGTCACTCGACAAATACGGATTACCTACTGCAGTGTGTTCAGGTAAAGGCCACTGTCTTCCGCAAATGATATATCAGATTCAACATGGAGCATGATACACGAAAGTTTTCTTCCAGGTCAGAGTAGATTTTTGGTGCACCCTACGTTTGACTTTGTTTTGCCGGCCCGCATGAGATGCTGGTCCCAGAAAGGCATACGAAGGCTGAGTTGTAAAACACTGTAAAATATATCTTAAAAC